AAAAGAAACTGACAAAGAGATGAGAGAGGACATGAGAGAACCTGAAGTGCTCAAATGCTAACTTATTTCCTGGTTTCAGGACTCATTCCTGCACCACTCTATAAACCTGTAGTTATGCACTGGAGACCAAAACCAATGGTTGTTTAGATCAGTTTGGACCAACATTGTTATATACAGAGCCGCTTGTAAAGCAACAAAATATGCAAGACATATCATTATTCTAAAATGAGTGCTCACCCTCTTCTTATAGTAAATCCTCCATTTGTGATACTCCTTGATCACCACCTCAATCCTTCTTTTCCAGTAGCTGCCCTCTAGTACAATTGCCTGTTGACATTATGCAGAAATACCAAGCATGAGACTTACATATCCAACTTCACCAGTGTACAATACAATAAATAAAACTCAGCTATATACAGTTTACCAATTTATAAGCTTAGTTTAAAATAATCCAGTTTGTGCTTAATCAGCCGGGTTCCATTGTAAAAATGCAACCCTCTATTTCAAATTTTTGGAGAAAACTCAAATATTTGTAATCTGTACAGATTGACTTAATTCAATACTTTAGACAGGGCATACTATACCACTGTTAAACTGCACATATACAAATATAAATACACAAACTTGAAATACTTAATCAATCAATACTTGATTTGATTGTATTATCATAATTTTTTTCTTGAGTAATGCTGCTTTATTTCCACCTATTGTTGTGTGTAATTGGTTTTAATCACTATTCCTGAAAATGTTTAAGTGCTGTATTTTAGCTTTAAAAACATTATTACAAATCCATGGCCTCGTTCTGAAACTCTCTCACCTCAGGCTTCCGATGCGAGTCGGCCTCTGAGCCCTCCAGCGGTGTGACAAACCCACACACTGCGTTCTTCCTCTTCTCTACATCTAAACAGCAGATACAGAGTTGTTCAAACATATTTCATTTGAACTTGAATACTGGAGAGGTGTTGAAGGTGATGCTGAGGAGGTAAAGAGTGGTGGACTCACACTGAATGAACCAGGCTCTCCAGATGGCGTTGTTCAGACGGATCTTATCTCTCCACAGCAACCGCAGACCCTTAAAAGACTTCCACTTGGGAGAGACTATCTTACCACTGGAAAGAAAACACATAATCTATCATAAAAGATACAATGGAAAACAGGCAATATACTTATTTTGTAGAGACACTTCAAAAAGGTTTTCAATGTCTTATCATAAGTGATACATTTGTGTTTCATGGTAATATCTATTAGTTAAAGTAAAACTTATATGCGCCAAACTTCAGAGATTTTAAAGAATCATTTGTAGCCTGATTTATAGACCTAAGATTTTTAACAATGTTTTCTGATCTTTAACATTGTTTGCTGATGTATAAATCCCCTCATGGAAAATGTTATTCATGCGTCAATAAAATAAAACAAGAATTTAAAACCAGGCTTTGTACAATGTTCAGATTTCTGTTCTGGAAATCTATGCAAATACACATTTAACAGGACAATTATTTCCATATTCTAACTTAACATTGTTGATGTTTTATCAGTCTGGATAAAGGTGATATTACTTAACAAAATGTACCTTATACACCTATAGTGTCTTAAAAACAATACGAGTGACAGGTGACTAGATTCTCTTTAGACCAAAGTGGACACAGTGGAAAATATTCAGTAGCCTCACCCCCTCACTCTCTGTCCTTATTTTGATTAATAGTGACCAATCAGCTAATTCAGCAGCACAGTGCAGGCTGTTTCTTAGCGTCCCTCAGTCTGCTGAGTGCTGAGCAGAGGCCTCCTAATGTGAGGTGCTCAGTGAGTTGCCTAGAAGCCCTGGGGAATGATTTTCAACGTGGTGTTAATGGAGTGACAACGCTGAGTGCCCCACACTCCAAAACAGCGGAGACAGTACATTACTTAAAAGAACATGTGAGGAAACAAACCAATCAACACAAGTCTGGTTAATGATAATTCTGTGCAGCAGAGCAGGACAAATACAGTCCTTCACATAATACTGTTTAAACCTTACAAAAAGCACTTAGATAAAACACCTTACAGTAAATAATGAATACGTTCTTCAATGTAAAGCTACTTTATACAAAAACAAAACCTGGGTTTATTGTGTAACTATCTTTCAATTATATATTTTTAAACAATTGCACAGGCAATTGTCTTCCTTAGGCCAAAGGTTTATTGCACCTCTTGTTAAAGCACAACTTAAGTTTAATTTAAAATTCTCAATCACATGTTTTTAAAAGAAATACATTCCTACATTAACTTATCAAGGTATATGAGCCAGATAGCTGTCACTCAGTTTCTTTTAAATCACGAAAAAAACAGAACCAACAAACATAACAGGAAAATTGTATGGGTTATATTTCTTGCATGTCCGTGCAACAGCAATATAATAAGCACATTCTCAAATGAGCATGGTGTCAGGATCTCCTTTCCCTCAGTTACACTGTAACCTGACAGCGCTGCCAACTAGAATCAAAGTCCAGTTTTCAGTGAAGATTTTCCAAGAGGTTGCACAAGAGACTCTTCCAACAGACACGAGTTACAAACCAACAATATCAGTCTTTAAAAATGTTATTGTGGAGGTTTTTCATGTGCACTTTGGGTAGTTTGTGTAACAGGATATGCAATGTATAATATACAAATGTGCACTATTTAATCATAAAACGTTAACATGAAAGTGACCCTGGTTTCTACGTGCTTATTATGCGTTAATGTACAGGAAATCAAAAGGAAGTAAATGGGATTATGGTTCAGAAAAAACGTATTATATGGGGATAATTTGCAGTGATGTTAAGTAGCCGAGCTAAATATGTATGCTCAAGTATAAGTACAATTCTGAGAGAGAAATACCCAAGTAAGAGACTGTAGGCTACTTGGGTATTTCAATGTTTTGCTACTTTGTACTTCTACTGCACTACAATTCACAGGCAAATAGTGTACTTTTACTCCAATACATTTATTGTATACCTTTAGTTATCTGAGTTGGACTAATTCTATTAAATCTAATTGACAGTTAAATAAGACTTTAGTTACACCTGGAGTAAATCCATAAGCAACCCTGCAGCATAGTATACAAGTACAGTCTACAAAGTCATTCAAACTAGCTGCACCTTTACCAGCTTTGATAACACTTTAGTGCATCAATAATTATAATCAAAACATATCATATTATTCTGAAATGGATCAATTGGCAGAATGAGTACTTTTACTGTTGGCACTTTAAGTATATTTTGATGAAAATACTTTTGTACTTTTACCTCAGAAAGATTTGTAATGCAGGACTTTTACTTGTAACAGAGTATTCCTGTTCTACTGAGTACTTCTCCCTCTTTTAATTTGCAAATGAAAAGCAGCTAACAAGTGTGAGCTGTGTGTATCCTCCTGCTGACTACATACGGGGACCCACCTGTAGGCCAGGGACATGCAGTCGAACAGGCGGGTCAGCGTGGGGTCTATGCTGAGGCTCCCGGAGCTGAGAGGACCGTACCGGTACGTCTGGCACCACGTCAGGTTCACCGTGTCAAAGTCATAACTCGTGGACCCGCCGCTTTTCGTCCTGCGCGAAAAGTCGTTGTGGGGGGACGACACCATGAAGTGTCCGCTGTGAATGACCTGAGTGCGGGGGAAGGCGCAGGCGGACAGCCCGGTACCTGCCACTCGAGCCGGCTCTGCCTCCGTCTCCGAGTCCGAAGAGTCCAGGAGCTGCTGGCTCTGACCGGAGGAACACGCTCTCCCTTTGCCCGCCATGGTTCGCTTTCACTCGGTGTTGACTGTCCGCAGAACTGTGAACTTTCTCCTCAACTGACTCCCCCCTCTTCTCGAGATATTCCAAAAGGAACGCCGCTTGATAACAGCACCGAGACCCCGCACCCTCCAGCTGACAGACATAAGTGGGTCTCCCTCACAGCTCAGCGCGGGACGGTGTGGATTATTGAGCAACAGCTTCTATCATTATGTCAACTCCATGAGGTGGAAGTCCTCCCCACCACCAATCAATGAAGACTAATTATTAATAGACCAAGCCTTGTAGAAAACATTGTTATTGTCTGGAGTCCTCAATATTGGATTTACTACACCTACTATATCAAACTCCAGGTTGGCATTTTTCAACTAAAATATAAAAGTATATTTGTATAGCTAATTTTAGTAGTACATGAACTCATTAATGTCATCAGGTAAATGTTTGTCTTGAATATTTCCATATTTAGCCACTTTATATAAAACATAATTAATATAAATATAAATATTAGGGATACAAAACAGATTGTAAGGTCAAATCTGTTGCACCATTACCAATTGCAAAATTAGTGATGCTTACACATTAGGCTATTGCTTCAATAATAATATTGTGAAATGGTTAATTCTCCATAACTTTAGAATATATATTTGATACCGATGCCTTTAGACTTTTAAAGATTTTGAATGCATTTGTTTTACAGTGGTATTGCTTATTTTACTTCATTAAAATATTAAGGAGTATATTAGAGTAATTACGTGTTAAACTAAGCTAGGAGGACATCCTTTTAATTTCAAGTAGCCAGGTGTGGAAAGTAAATTAGAGCATTTACTCAAGCACTTTACCGAAAAGATAGGTTGACAGGTTTTTTTTTATTCATGCCAAAATAGCAAGGCGCCCATATGGATATTGAAACATTTCCCAGGGATTACGTAAATACCGGTTCCACTTTCGAGTCAGGCGGCGTATTATAAAAGCTATACGTATTATTTTCAACTGTTAAATCAAAGAATATCAAATAATTAATTAATCTTAATTAACTAAATTTGCAAACATTTTGAATAACCCATGTAAAAAAAAAAACAGGGAACATTTTGCATTTTTTACAATTAGAGAAGAAACATTTGGCCTTAAAAGCTGAATATACTTTGTTGTCTGAAATTGGGCTGAAACCAGCGGATATATGTTTTAGTACCAAGGTGTTTGGCCTGTTGTGCATTTCAAAGATTGACTTGACATTAAGAAAATGATAAATCATCCATTTATATCAAACTGTTTTATTGAACAATGACCTTTCATTCTCTGAAGACATGCTGATGTATGCCATTCAGATGAATAATTCACATATTATGGTCTGACAGAGTCAAATCAATGTTAGTCAACATAGAAGTAAGACTCCAACTGTAAAAGCTAAAGATAAGTGAGGATTTTTTTGCGAACAGAGTACACATCTTGTCAAATTATCCCTTTATTAGCTTAAGGACAGTTGGACACAATTACTGACTGGACCATATGAAACCCGTGCAGTTAAGACAGGAACTCTACAATTGAGGGACATTTTTTATAAAAAGGGGTATCTGCAGAGTCGTGACCAGCCTTATTTATGAACTTCATATATTTAATTTAAACTCTCATTTAAGTTACAGAAAAATAGTCAAATAAAAAAGAAAGAACAAAAAGGAAAATAAATGTTTTGCAGCAATGTACTGATGTGACAACTGCTGGCAAGAAGGCTGACTGCCACAGACACTGAGTCTCTTTAGATTTCCAAAGGTGTCAATCAGCGCTGCAGCATTTGATTTAGTTGTATTATATTATCAAACCTTCAACTTTGCCAGGATGTGTTTTGAAGAATAGTGACATTTAACTTGTACCTAACATTAGTTACATTTGACAAAGCCATGGAGGTTTTCCAGGAACTTGATGTACTCTTGATGCTCGACGGCCGTGCTCAGCTCCATCAACTCATCAGCGAAGGTGTTGTCAACCCCGCGGTCAGCCAGGAAGTCCATCAGGTGGTCATACAGAGCCTGAAAAAAACAAAAGTAAAGAGGTTAAAATGTTCTAGTGTTAATCACAGCTATCATCTGCTTTATTAACATGATTTGTATGTTGTATAGGTTATTAATCTAATTCCTTAGATCTTACCCAGTCCAGAGCGTCTGTGTTGAGTGTGTAGCTGTTCTCCTTCCAGTCTGTGTCTCCCTCAGGCTGGAAACTGACCTCACGAATGGCAAAGATGTCGCTCTCCTCTTCTCCTTCAGCATGACTCACCTACAAAAACGCAAATCCAGATTTTCTGTTACACTCAAAGTCTCGGAGTGAAAGGTCAAAGACACGCTGTAAATATGACATTGTAATGTCTAAAATGCACCAATAAAAGTCTGACAATTATTCCAAAGAAGTATAATTGACAATATGCCCAAATACTTTTGTTACTTTTCTTTTACAGGAAATGTACATTTAAGTTCATAATAAAGCATGGATATTAGATAACTAAAATGATCGCCATAACTGCACCAAGTTACAGGACCTTCTAGCCATCAAAACATTGTAGTTATTCCTTCACAGTTCATTCTAGACTTGCAAGCGTTGCAAATTGCGAGCTTAGTCTTTTTCAAACACCGGTAAGAACGTCCACATCGATGACACGATGCGTTCGTTTGTGTGTGGCTTAAGGCGATAGAGATTTCTGTCATTACAAAATGTGTATCCAAATACCTCAATATGGATACTGCAACACTATTTTAGGGGCGACTATAACTGATTTACAGACGATTTTTAGACCGCGACATTTTAAAGAGTAATCATCAGTTATGTGGGTGTTATGACTAAGCATGTAAAGGAAAATAATAGAACAGTATGTTAAGTTCAGAAAAAAGCACCCCTGACTATATTATAGCCATTAAAACCGGGAAAAAAGCCACTTATGCCATTTGACAATATCCAAAATATGAATGTCATGTTATTTTAAAGTACTTGTAGGGCTGTGACGTAACTGCATTTAGTTTTATGTCACGCACACAGCACTTTGTTATTTAACTGGCTACATTAAATTGGATTATGTAAGACTGATTGAAGGATGCATCACTGTTCTGTGAAAACGAATGCAGGCTTTGCTTACCTCATCTTCAGGGAAATGGCAGTCAAACACCAGGGAATGTTTTGCACCCTGTTTCGTTACATCGACAACAAAGTTGGGTGATGATACAATTTCTGGCTGTAAAGAAATAAAAATAATTACAATAATGTTATGAAGTTAAAGGCTTTCTTCAGTCCATTTGTGATTAAAAGAAAACTATCCAGTGCAATGACATCTCACACGTAATACAGATTATCTGTAACTCACCTCTTCCTCTGCGGACTTCTGCTGTCCCTGCTCTGCCTCTTCCTCAAAGTTAGGAGGAATGCTGTTATTGACGTTGAATGTGACAGTGATTCTGTAAAAAAAATAATAAGACAGATTATGAGCTTGTTAGTGTGCCCACGTATTAATAGTAAGTTTTGTATAAATCACAGACTGCACAAGACTTACTTCTCTCCGGCAACATTCCTTGAGAGTTTAGCTTCTGTGCCATTCAGAGCCAGCTCCCATCCTCCAGACATCTTAGGAAGGTTGCTGTTTTTCTGGATCTTCAGCTCCTCTTTGATTTCATCAGACAGGAAAGCACCAAATGCTTTGTCACCTGTTGAAAAAGTTATACAATCATTAGAATATTTTATTTTGGAAAATCCAATCTTCACAACTTCATTATGTTTCCTATAGGTTAATGGATTCTAACTGCTTACAGAACATCTTTAAAGCAACCTACAACAATGTTTTATACTCATGTTCATGTAAGAGTAGCTGTTCCCTTCTTTGATTGAACTATTCATTGCAAGTCCTGTTAGCTTATGTCTTTAAAGTTTTTCATTATAGGTCGTTACCACACCATGCTAAAATGCTCAATCTATATTTGACCGATTGAAAAAGAAAATATTCGGTTTTATATATATATATATATATATATATATATATTTTTTTTTTTTTTTTTTTTTTTTTTTTTTTTTTTTCTCCAACCCAAGATGCATTTGGTGTTTGGAATTTTTTCAGTTAAAAACAATGTGTAATTTATTTAGGTTACAGTATATATTGTACAATCCTGAGTCTTGTGTAAAAAAAGACAAAAGTAGGCATCCACCCTAAACATGGTGTAATTAACATTAACATATTTACAACACTAACACTAACATATTTACAAAAACACATGTCGACACAAACCACTCAAAGACATGACTTTGTGAACCACAGTTATTATTTGTTTGCAAGTTATCGTTTTAACTACATTCTATGAGGACAACTGAACACATCTTTCAAGGTGATTGCTAGCTAACAGTGGGATGATACAGACTTCATTTAATGAGAAAATTACATAAATTACTTAATTTCTGAGTAGACATGTTGACATGAGGTCTTATCTACACAGTTAATCGTATTATTCTCTCGCCATTTAACCTAGGTTAATATTGACTGATATACGAAGCAAGCTAGCTTGATCATTTAATATCTTTCACATCCAAACGTACCTTCTGTGTGCAGGCTTCCACATCCACATGATATCGAGGGATTCAACGCTTTTGAACTGAAGAGTTTTGGCCTGTATCCTGACGACGCTCCGTTGTTGTTCAGCATCCAGAGAGACCGGGTGAAGGGCCGAGTTGTGGCCGAGCTTGGAGAGCACAGTGTCTGGCAGCTGAGAGGCAGGGTTCGGGCTGTGGAAGTGGCGACTGAAGAGAGGCGGACAGCGGCTCCCACCGCACGAACAACTGACTTTAGCATGACTGTGTAGAAATGTGAAGGCTTTTAGTGCAGATAAATAGGTTTGACAACTCACAGCTACCGGCTAACTCCCCGTTACTGCTGCTTGCTTCAAGATTATGGAACACATGTGTGTGGAAGGACACATTGACCTTTCGTCAGTGTGACCTTTAAACCGGAAATAGTACTTTGAAACCGAAAGAAATAAGACAAAATAATCTCTGTTTCTTTAGAAAATCTTAAATACGACCATTACTTTATAAATGAGTTGTATAATAGAGTAACAATAGTGTTAATAATATATATATTTGTAACGTTATAGATAATGCCAGCGGGATAATGTCACTTTCCTTCCTACAACGCCCCCTGTGGAGTGAGAAATAAGTGATTTATGTTTAAAACAATCTAAATGTATTGAACATCTTTTTATTCGTGTGCAGTAATGTGTAATTTTGGCTAAATATGCATTTAAAGTAATTATATGTAAAATATCTTTGCAATTGAAGCATTATTTTTCACTGTTTTGTATTGCAGCTTACATATGTTGTCCCCATTTGTACATACACGTTTTAGTATAATGCATATATTTTCACAAACTAGTTTCTTATTTTTTTAATGTTTATATCTCTTTTTACTTGAATATGAGTAGCTACAAATTAACCTTATTCACCCCGAGAATCAATAAAACCTATTTTTGATTCAATTTGGAAATATGTTAACCTATTTATTTAAAGTGGACCTATCATGCTATATTTGAATAATACAGTGTAGGACCATACCTATATAAGGCATATTTATACTTTTTATTTTCAAAATACCAAACAGATCATGCATTTTAGCCATTCCTCATTTCGCTCACTTGAACACTGTCTTTGCATGGGCTGATTCTGTGAGAACAGCACCATCTACAGGCCTGGCATATGTACTACAGCGTCTCCTTAGGTCCTGAAAAATATAGGACAGTAAGTGAATCAAACCCTGGAAAATCTTCCTGTGTCTTCAAAGCTTCACTCTCCTGTGGAATTGTGATTTTTATTAGAAATTATACCAATAGGGGTTACGTAAGACATGAACAAATCATATTAAATACACCTATAATTAACTCATCAAAAGGCATGCATTGAAATCTTGCAAACTTCATAACACAAAAACACCAAAAACAAAACCTGATTGTAACATGGTCTGATTTTCTACCCCAGATGCATTTGGTGTTTTATTTAGAAATAATGTGTTACTTATTTGGGTAACACTATATTTTAAACCAACCCGAATCCACTTTGAACACTAGTAAGTAGACATCTATACTATTCCTAAACGTATTGTAATTATTAGCATAAATATGAGCATTGTCACAAAAAGGGCAGGCTGTCTCATAAAATCAGAAAACTGCTCTTTTACAGTGGACATGTACATCCAGGAGGGAGGGCTTGCATCATTCTTAGGATGTCTCAGTGTAATGAGGGGAATCAGTTGCATCAGTTAGACATGTAGCCCTGCTGCCAGAAGATGGTGCTGTCAGCCCACAACTAACCCAGGAGAGCAAACTTTGATTATCCTTGTCAAATAAAACAAGGTCATCAGATCATACTAGTCTAAAGAAATAAAAACACATCTCAATGCTCGGTTTAATTCATCAAAATGCCACATTTAAGTATAATTTATCTCAACTAAATAATTTTGTCAAATAATGCAATAATGTTATGCAATCTTGTTGTTTTTGTCTGGCATCAATACTACATATATTTATAATGTACATTTAAATGTATATTTTTCTTTATTTATACTTTAGTTGCATTTCCGCACTCCTAATTATAGATGCCATTTTTAGCATTATTATTTACTGTTAAGCATTGAAGTATACCAATTTTAGTTTTGTACATATTTATTAATTTGTTGTATATGGCACATTTTATTTACCATTTGTATCTTATTTTCCTTATAATTAAATGTTTATTCTAGAATAAGAAATGTTTTAACTTAACTCAATTTCCCTCAATAATAATCAATAATGTATTTCTAATTCTGAATCATCTGATTTTGCATATTTTGAAAATGCTTTACATAACAAAATAAAAATGGCTGGATTAAGAAGTGAATTCTGCTTGTTCTGTGAAACCGGATTTGTATTAGAAACTATACCAATAGTGGTATGTGAGAAATCATATAATATTAAATATAATAAACTCATCAAAAGGCGTGCATTAAATCTTACACAAAACATGACATGCAGATCTTCAACAGTCTACTTCTTCTGAACACAACCTTGTGTAACATGGTCTAATGATTCTCCAACCCAAGATGCATTTGGTGTTTGGAATTTTTTCAGTTGGAAACAATGTGTAATTTATTTAGGTTACAGTATATATTGTACAATCCTGAGTCTTGTGTAAAAAAAGACAAAAGTAGGCATCCACCCTAAACATGGTGTAATTAACATTCTACAAAGTATGAGAGACCTGAGGGATCAAGTCGCTAACTACAATCTGCATGATTTGCATACATGTGTTGTTAGCATACGTCTGTGTGTAGTCTGTGGGTGTTGAACATGGAGAATAAGGCATGCTACTTCTAATGATCTGCATGTATTTAGAAACAGGTGATAAAGTCATAGATGGGGAAAAAGGCATGCACTAGCTTACAAGACAAGTGCTGCATGAAGAGTAGTTATAAAAGAGAAGTCATGTCACTGTGACATGTAAAAACCTCATATTCTATTTTCATATTTCCTTGTATTTCAAAGACCTCGTTAGATAAAGACAATCCAGTCGTCCTTGCATATATAAACCCTTAAGACCACTTTTTATAAAACCAAAACCACATGGCGGGGGAGCTTAAGACAAAACTGCTTTGCATAGCTTCAGAAAAGCTAACATTTCAAAGACAGTTAACTCATCATTATTCAAAATTATTCTGGAAAGAGCCACCAGTCAGGCTCCTTTAGCTGTCTGAGTCTTGCTGGGCAGGTGATTTAGCAATTAACTACAACATTTTGCGAAATCATTATATGGAGAGTAGTATTTTATCGAGTCTGATAACATTTGAAAGGAGGAAAAACTAGTCAATTACATCAGACATTGAAGGATGTGTCATGTGATGTTACCTGTGCTGTTCAAATGCATGCACATGTTTGAAGAATGAATGCATGACATCTCAAAAAGACTTGTTTCAGGTGGCTAAAGCAAGCTGTAATACTAGCAGAAAAAATAAACTGTTGATACAATCTGATCTACAGGAAGGTCTGATTTACAGGAAGTTAAAGTTGTTGTGAGGCCTCAGTTTGCAGATTTCTGCTGCAGTGGCACATGACGAAGGTCGCCAACTGGGAGGTAGTGAGATCCAGAGATAGTTAACTACACAGAACATATTCTGTGTGATTGCAATCGATAAGTGTCTTAATCCAAACTCGTCTTTGTAAAGGGAACACATTTTTCGTTTTGTTGTCACTGGGTGTTCTGAGGAAAGTGAAGGTGTCCTTATAGAGATTTACTTTAGTCCTGTTTCTCAGCTGGTTAGCTCTTGCTGGGGTGGAGCTTGCGGCCAAAGTACTCTGGAGCCGCCTCCAGCAGCCAGTCTGCATCCACCAAACACAGGTCCCTCATGTAGCAGCGGGACGTGTGCAGCAGCTCGTTGAACACCACGTATGCCGGCTTGCCCTGGAAGAGGACGGAGGAGGGGTGGATGGACACGGGCTGGTGGGTGTCCAGAGCCAAGTAGCTGCCGTCAGGTTGCAGCTCTGCGGCATTGACGAACATGCCGCGGGCGATGCAGCGGCGAACATTCCCCATCTCTGCCCCACAGGACCCCAGCTTCATATTCAGCTGGCAAATCAACAAGCACAACAGGACATGTTAGCTCAAAATGCTAATTCACTTTACAACAGTGCTCCTAGTACTAGACTCCTGGTACTAGGATGGGTTAAAAGCAGAGAACAAATGTCACTGTGTGTGCTGTGTGCTCTGCATGTGTGACCATTAAAGAGGGTTTCATCCCTCCTAATTCTATTTGTTTATTGCTATTCAAAAGGTTGTATGGGCTGCTGTGGACGCAGAAATCTATTACACAGCTGTAATTATTAAATAAAATCAATACTTACTGAATCATCTCACTGATAGAATGTGACAATAGCAGCCATAGAAGTGTTATTCACATCCATCTTTAGACTTATTTTGGTATTTGAAAAAATATGTTAAATAGTTTATTTTCAGTTTTTTCCAACATATACTTGAAGATAGAAAACCAAATGCATGGGTTGCAAACAATCATAAGCAGTTGATACGGGAATCAATTCCAAAAATATAAAATAATTTATACTAATAATAATATAAGTTTAGTTTAGTATTTAGGCAATGTGATCTCATTTGTCTACCCCTGTCTCTTCATAATAAAGAGGCACTCTTTCAACATCCCCCGCCCCAAAATATACTGGTCAAATACTAGACATGCATACATATGGCAGTATTCAAAGTTATAAATGTAGCTTTGAACTATTCAGTATAGTCCTACTTGTAACTTATTTTGTGAGATAAATGTGACATTGAATAGTGATGTTTCCCTGGCCTACACACACACTAATACTGCATAAGTGAATGTATGTGTAGGATACTCAGCTGCGTACCTTAAGGCAGATATCTCGGAGTTGCGCCTGAACGTCTTTCACCAGACCCATGTTCCTGCTGTTGACAAAGTTCTCCCGACACCACTCCTTTAACAGAAGACATACAGATTATAAAGGTCGCTCAGGAACACAATTTAATCTCTGGATTTTGCGTGGTCACATTCTTTTCCTTCCATAACTGATGTATGTGTTCTCACCTTATTACCGCTGCTGACTTTCTTGAAGGCTCTGTAGATGTTGAGCAGCGTTATGTGGTCTCCTTCGCTGGAGGAGAACTTCTTGCGAGCAGCGAGCACCTCTTCCCGCTTGGCAGGAGGGTTAAACAGTACAGTGTCCACCGACAGCAGAGATACGATGCTCAGAATCTCATCAGAGCAGGAGTAGTCCGGAGACAGCAGGATGGTCTGTGAGACGGAGCAACCAAGGAAAGGAAATGTTAAATTATATTCTATCTGGGTTACGCGTGTGACTAACTTTTTCTCACATTTCCTAGCACTTCTTTACCTTGGAATATCGGGGCTCCAGAGGGAAGCTGGCCATCTTCTTTCCAAGAGCAGTGAGGAAGACCTGCCCCTCCTTCCTCTCTACAGCTCCCAGCAGCTCCAGATGATTCACAGCAGAGCGGACGGCCTCTGGGATAAACACAACATGTTACTACCAGGGAACAACCCAGAGGTGCAGAGTGACTCCCGACCAAGAGCATCTTACCTGGAGAAGGCTTGGACATGAAATCAAAATTCATCACATCTGGAACCCCCAGAGCCATGAGCTGCAGCATCACACTGGATAGGTTACACCTGCAGCACACACAGGAACAAACAACTTTCAATCACATTGACCTTAAAAAATCAGCATGTGGGAGAAACACAGAATCCTGTCGATGAGCAAAAATGTAGTCTTATTATCAATATGACAAAAGGTGTTTTACTATGGTTGGCGACATTGAAAGTCCCCTGCAGACAATATTTCTTTAACATTATGTTGTGAAAAAAGCATCAATAAAAAGAGACTTTATAGGTTCTGTTGCAATAACTAGGCAAGTACAGGCTACATACAACACATCATTTTATTTTACCATTATTGTATACTTATTTCTACCTTTTATGTGTGTATGTAAGTCTAAAAGGTAAGCAACTTTACACTTAGCTAAAGACATCTATGGTTTTGAGTGATAATCTGCTCATATGGCCACGGCCTGTTTCATACGGTACCTCTGGATCTCGGGCACAGTCATGGGGATGAGGCTGTCAAACTCGTTCTCTGTGTAGAGGCGGTAGCAGGATCCGGACTCCTCCCTGCCGGCCCGGCCCGCTCGCTGCCACGCCTGAGCTTTAGAGACCCGCTGCACCGCCAGCACCTCCAGCCCGCTGTCTGAACCACACAACACATACACACGAATACTGCCACCTTTACTACATACGTTTTAAACCCTCTGAAAAGTGCAGAGTAAAACTGTTAACATCTAAAACATGAAAGGAGCAAACTGAATCCTCTTACCAGGACTGAAGCGTTTGGCCTTCACCATCCCTGAGTCTATGACAAACTTGATCCCAGAGATGGTGACTGACGTCTCAGCAATGTTGGTAGAGAGGATGACCTTCCTGCACCCCTGAAACGGTAGAGAGGTCTTCATTATGGATGAGGAATACATTTAATACAATAAATTTTTTGAGTGTTCTCTATAAATGTCCCTTTGTCTACATCACTGTTCCCTTTACCTTGGGAGCTGGCTGGAAGCACCTGAGCTGCTGTGCGGGGGGGAGGGATGCATACAGAGGGATGACCACCATGGGACCGCAGCCATCGGGCAGATGCTTGGCGATGTCACGACATGTCCGAGCCAGCGCCTCGATCTCCTCCTGACCCGTCATGAACACCAAGATGTCGTGAGACAGAGGAGCTTCCTGCACGCAAACAACAGGGCCGTGTTGTGTTCAGGTGTCAAGAAGAATCATCACAGTACATAGACAAGGATAGGCGCTCACAAACAGGCTTATGTATTTAATGCAAACGCTTATTGATTTGCTTGGGCTTGTGTGGAACCTGGACTGACTTGATATAAAAAATAGGAACATTTTTGCTCCAAGGGAGGGGAAGCATACTGTGCAGTGGAAATGCAGCATAGGACTTCACGAACCAATCAAAACTGTTAATACAGGAATGTTCTCCCTACACAGATTTAGCAGACTACCTGATGGATCTGGAAGATGGTGACGAGTGCGGCCTGAAGGTAGTCGGACTGCGGATGCTTGGTGTAGTAGATCTGGATGGGATGCTGCCTGCCCTCCAGGTACAGTACGGGAGACTTGTTGAAGTATTCAGAGAACAAATCCACATCCATGGTGGCTGACATCACTATGACCTGTGAAGGTTTCACAGAGCAGTGAGAGAAAGGTTTAGGATTTGGGAGAGAAGGTAAAGTTAAAAAGAGGATTTAACAGATCACCAGGGTAGAGGAGGAGAGTTAGCATATAGAAATGAAACCTTGTGCGTCACTCACTAACATTGCTCTGATGTCCATGATGATGTGTTAATTTTTGTATTATTAACCCTTAAAATTCTATTTAGTTAACATAATGCCACTGTTGATATTATGAAAAGATGGCAAATAAATATTTTTTTCTAAATGTTCTTTCTTTACAGTCTGGGTTAGATTTGTCATCAACAGCAGCAACATTGATTTTGATGTATTTAAATGTTTTGTGCAGAAAACCAGGGAAATAGCATGTTTCCCATAGGAAGAACCTGAAATAATCGATCAGTCTGATGGAACACTAATAAAAAAAGTAACATTTGGAAGCCAGGGCTCTATATTGAACATGTGATATAATAATACAATGCATTCATTTATTCTGTAAAAGTGTGTTTTCAATGTGGACAATTTTGTCTTTCGGGGTGTAACTCAGCTAAACTGTTCTTTATAAAACGTATTAATGGAGCTAAAAAACCCAGACCCATTCCAAAAGTTATGTCACATGCATTTACACAGACAAAATTAATGAAAGTACTCAAATTTAAAAAGCCAAAAATATCCCTAGTGAGGCTCCATAATTACCGTGACAATAAGCATTTTATCTCATGTGCCCAATGCAGTGCAGGGATTAGCCGTAGTGATGTGTCGGTCGCGAACGAGCCGATTCTTTTGAACGGCTCTTTGGTATGAACGAGGGGAACCGAGTCGTACTTGGTGAGAGCCGTTCTTCGTTATCCGTTCACATCGTTTGCTCCCGCACTCACTGCCTGCCAAAAATCCACTCGCCTTTTAAAAGCTTGATTTTGTCCCCCAAAACGTATTCTGTGAAGACCCGCCCCTACTCTGACTGTATCTATCTCCGACACGGAAGCCCTGTCTGCTCCTCACAGCAGCTCCTCACGAGCAGTTGCACGTCGCTTGAGCACACTGGGCTCACGGGGGGGGGGGGCGAGCTCCAACAAGCCGTTTAGGACAGAGACTGAATACCAGGTTTCAGCACGAGGAGTGAGATGGGGTGGGTCTTAACAGAATACGCGAGAGAGAGAAGTGATAACAAGTGGTAAAGGACAGGTAGACGACGTGTTTTTCGGATGGAAAATGAGCCAAAAGCGAAAAACGCAGTTGGATGCACTTCAACCAAAAAGCGCACCATTTGTAAAGGCAAAATATCCTTTAAAGCAGGGTCAACAAATAATCTCCATCGCCACTTAAAAATATAGTATCTAATATTAAGAGTTGCGTGAATTTCATTCAAGGCAAGTCAACTTTATTTACTTAACACGTACAGAGGGTAAATCAAAAGTAGTACATTCACTGACATTAATGACATGGATATGGCGCCACCTTGTGTCATGTTTACAATGCAGATTATTGACATTAGGTCTGGCAATCATTATCCTGGTGATTATTTCGCATATAAACCTAGTAACCCCGCCCCCTTTAAAAAAACGACTCTTTTGAACGGCTCTTTGAAAGGAACGGAGCCAGAAGATCCGGCTCCCTTCAAAGAGCCATAAATCCCATCACTAATTAGCCGCCCATTGTTAAATATATTTTTGAAGCCAGGACCCCTGGCATTCCTACCTTCAGGGGAATCTTATTTAGTTCCCTGCGCCTGCGTTGAGCAGCCTTCACCACGCCGAACAGAACATCAGTGTGCACGGTGCGCTCGTGAGCCTCGTCCAGGAGCACCACAGTGTAGCGCAGCAGCAGGGGGTCTCCGATGGCCTCGCGCAGCAGCATGCCGTCTGTCATGAACTTCAGCTTAGTCTCAGAAGAGGTGACATCCTCAAAGCGCACTGTGTAACCAACCTGTAAATAACTTTGATAAGACTTCAACTGAATACGTTCTGATACTAGGCAAGGCAAGGCAATCTATATAGCACCTTTCAGCACGCGACAATTCAAAGTGCTTTACAAAATAAAATAAGACGTTTAAGAATAAATACAGCAGAAACACATTATATAATGTTTTTTTACAACAGGCATTTAAAAAGCAAAGAAAATAAATTAAACACAACAGTTATACAATACATGAATAAAATGCATACTGCAGTGCGCATATGAGCTCAATTAAAAGCAGCGGCAAAAATATATCTTTTCAGTCTCGATTTGAAAATACTAAGAGTCTCTGCGGACATGCATGTTTCAGGCAGTTTGTTCCAGATTGTCGGGGCATAATAGCTAAACGCTGCTTTTCCATGTTTTGTTCTTACTATCGGAACGGAGAGCAGACCCGTCCCAGAAGACCTGAGACACCTTGATGGATCATAATTATGCTGGAGATCGTTAATATACTTTGGTCCTAAGCCATTTAGTGATTTAAACTACCAATAATACTTTTAAATCAATTATTTGCCCAACTGGAAGCCAGTGTAAAGATTTCAGAACCGGACTGATGTGATCCACTCTTTTAATGTTAGTGAGGACTCGAGCAGCAGCGTTCTGAATCAGCTGCAGCTTTCTGATGGATATTTTTTTGTCAGCCCTGTGAATACACTATTGCAGTAGTCGAGTCTACTGAAGATAAAAGCACGGACAAGCTTTTCTAAATCCTGTTGTGACGTTTTTTAATCCTAGATATGTTCTTCAAGTGATAGTATGCAGACCTAATGACTGTTGTAATGTGACTGTTAAAATTCAGGTCTGAGTTCATCACTACACCTAGATTTATAGCTTTATTAGTTGTTTTGTAGTCTGCCGACTGAAGCTCTGTGATTACTTTTAATCGGTCCTTCTTTGCTCCAAAAACAATGATCTCAGTTTTTTGTTTGTTCAATTGGAGAAAGTTCTGAGTCATCCAGTCATTGATGTGCTCAATGCACTTGCTCAGCATTCTAATCGGATGAATAGTCTCCTGGTTTATTTTTAAATAAATCTGGTTGTCGTCTGCATAGATATGATAGCTTAGATCGCTGTTTTTTATAATTTGAGCCAGTATATAGCATATAGATATTAAAAAGCAAAGGTCCTAAGATGGAGCCTTGAGGAACCCTGCATGACATATTTGTCAGGGCTGATGTGTAGTTGCCTATTGAGACAAAGTTGTATCTGTCCTTAGTAGGTACTAAATCAATATAGAGCTGTTGCTGAAACTCCCACCCAGTTTTCTAGACGGTCTAGCAATATGTTGTGGTCAACAGTATCAAACGCAGCGCTGAGACCTAATAATACTAACACTGATATTCTGCCACTGTCCGTGTTTAAATGGATGTTATTTAAGACCTTAACAAGAGCAGTCTCAGTGCTGTGGTTTGGTCGAAAGCCTGACTGGAACACATCAAAACCGTCATTTAAAAACATGAAATGACTCAACTTTTGAAAAAAAAGCTTTTTCAATCAATTTACTTAAAAAAGGAAGGTTTGATATTGGCCTGTAATTATTCAATTTGGATGCGTCTAGGTTATGCTTTTTTAGGAGCGGTTTAATTACTGCAGTTTTCAGGGCCTGTGGAAATACACCTGATTGAAGAGACTTGTTTACTATATGAAGTAGGGGCCAATCTGAGGCCAAGCAATGAAAAACCTTTTTGAAAAATCCTGTGGGAATAATATCGAGGTTACAGGAGGAGGATTTCAGATGTTGAATAATGTCTTCTAGGTCTTTAGCATACTACTATATCAAGTCAGAAACAGAGGGAAGGTAATGCATTTAAAACATCCTCTACTTAAATGTGTTCTTTAGTAAGGTCCTTGGATGGTCTACTTCAGATTCAAGACGTGTTCTTAAACTGATGAATTGTATCAACCAGTCTTCTTAAAAATCATGAACTCCATTGTCCTTTTTTCCTGAAATCATATGCCAGTTCAACCTAATTAGCATATAAGACCCTTCCAATAGTGGAGGTATTCAGCAAAGAACACCAAATACGCTTCATTTTAAGAAATGTCAGTTGTGGATATTAAATAACAGAAACAAAGGTATGACTCCTGCAGTGCCTAAGTGTAGGCTTATAATAATAATAAATACAAATTGAAATTCTGTATTATGCATATGTAGAATCAAAGACACAAACTTGTCAGCACTCCAATGTGCACATAGATTCTTATTTTTAATTAAAAACAAATCCCTAATAAGAAAACATTGTTGAATCTTAGTGACAACTGCGTAAGTGGGCAAGTAATGAGGCCAAGAGTCGAATGTGACACTCGATGTAAATATAGCGTTTGTTTGTTGTTTGTCAAGAACACACCGAAGGGAACATTTAGACCGGAACAGACTAAGCATATGTGTGGGAAACCTGTCTGTTGTGCATACCAGCTTGCCGAGCTGTGTCCTCTTCTCCTCGGCCACCCTTCCTGCCAGAGATATGGCTGCCACTCGACGGGGCTGAGTGATGGCGATGAGGCCCTGTCGCCCGATGCCGGCCTCGTACAGATACTGAGGGATCTGAGTCGTCTTCCCAGAGCCAGTCTCTCCTGTAAGAGAGAAGTTAGATAGGGTCAAGAAAGACAAAGCTAAGATGCTACATTATAAACGTGTAGAGTAGAAATTACATTTTCTGAGCCTGGTATCACTTAAATGTGAGACAACTCTCTTTTATATACCAACTAAAAACTTCCATGACATAGTGGAGATATTATTATTAATTCTTTAATTCTTCATTTAAGATTCATGTATTTTTTTCAATTACTTTAAAACATTTAGCAAAAGGAATTACGTTACATATGCAAATTATCTTAAGGATATCATGGTTGTTCAAGACAAATTTCCACCCAATTCAGAATAAAATAAGAATTTGGTGAGGTTAAGAATACACTTCAAATCATTCACAACTTGGAAAACTATTTTTTGATGTAAAATTATAGGATTTTGCGACGTACAGTGAACTGAATAAAGGTTTTCACATGATGCTTACAAGAAAATCCATGACATTACCTATACTAAGAGGTCTTGGTGAATTGGTTTGGAATTACAAAAATAAAAAAAGGATATAATTATAAGGCTTACTGTTGTTAATCAGAAAACATTATTAGTTAAGATGCAATAGTTAAACTTATCAGAGCATCACATCACAGAGCTGACAACATAGTTTTTTGTCAGAGTGAACCTTCCCTTTAATTGAGTAGCACAAGAGTGGCTAACGCATTAGCATCATTAGCTGAGTGTGGTTCTTACCTATGAGGATAGCATTGTGGAGCTGCCTCAGCTGGTTCATTAGCTGGGGTTTCGCCTGGTAGATGGGAAGCTGTTTCCTCTGGACTTCTATCGGAGTGGTTGCATTTCCCTTTCTAGGCAGCAGCATTCCAGGTTTATTCTTATCGTTACGGAAGAAAACAGACCCCGGCTTGAATTTTTTCGCCGGTGGATGGTCGTGGTCGTTGGGCATGGTCTAGAAAAAGTGACTCTGTTAGCGGAATCCTTTCAGCGTTTTGAGGATGTTTCTGAAATGTCTAAAAGGAACAAAAAATATTTATCATGCTCATTGACAGACAGGCAAGCGTCACTGTGGTTGTTTTGCTACCTCTGTACGTCCCCACGTGGTCAAATTGGGCGCAGATGTTTGACGTCACAATTGTGTTGCAGAGTTGTGCAGTGACGCGTCCTAAAAACCTGAAGTAAGCTGCTTCTAGCCTCGACAAAAAATAAATGCAATTTCTCTATAGGATTTTGGAAAATAGGTCGAAATAAGGTCTGTGGTTGACACACATTTAAGAGACGGATCACGTTTTGTTCAGTCGGATAATCTCCACATGTTTACCCTACTTTTATAATTTTCGAATCATAAATCTAATCGATAGATTTATGATGGATATATTTATGATTGATCATTTTTTGTCGAGGAAACCGGAAGCAGCTTACTTCCGGGTTTTAAGACGCGTTACTGCACCACTCTATTTTAACCTTAATCTTAGTATACATCCATGATTTTAACCCGAGTAAGGACCAGTAGCGTAGGCAGACATTTACTTTAGGGCGGGCCAGTATAAAATAGGGTGGGCCAGCTTTTTCCAGGGGGAAAAACGACTTTAAGGTAGGCCTGGCCTATAATAATATTCTTATTATAATAATATATAATAATGCCCATTGCCAAGCATCGTTGTAGCATTTCCCTCCGAATAATGGTCGAAGACTTGACTGATGATATGAGTTTATTGAAATCTCCAATATCAACGTAAGAGCTATAAAGACACAAAAATAACAAATACATTTAGGCTCCATTCGTCTTAGAATCACTTTAGCATACTACCAAAAGTTAACTGTAAACAGACAGCAAAGCTACACAACAGCATACAAACGAATTAGGAAAAAACCTACATGTTTATATAGTTAATACCAACTTTGTGCCTCTTCGGGGGGTGCTAAACTTAAACATAAACTTTATCCTTTACTTTATCAGTCTTTATATATAGATTAATCTCCGCTCCTTTTCTCCGTCACGTTGTTTCCATAGCAACAACAACTTCCTGTCAACATCTTAAACTCGCCTTCAAAATAAAAGCATCTAAATAACAGGAATTCCTAACTGTATCACTATAACATGATGATGATGATGGTGATAAAGAATGCATCTAACGTTTCGCTGTTCATAATAATACAAAACAGTGCATTAAACAAACCATCATGCTCTTACTTTGAAACCATGCGGAAATTTCGTGATCGGCCATCACATGGTTTTGGAAAATAACCGAGTGACACGAGTAGATTTTTGCCAAGACTGGCGGAAAGTTTGTCTCAAAACTCTGTGTGTGTAAAAAGACGATCCACAAGCAGAAATGTGAGATCCACAAGCGCATAGTTGTTTGACAAATACAAAATGGATTCACAAATGCCTGATCGGAAGTTGTCAATATTAAAGAGATATTCACAGATCTTTTTTTTATTTGTGAAGATATTTTGCGTATTTGCAGATCCGTTTTACATTTACAAATTTATTTGTGAGTTTGCAAATCTTTTAAATGCATTGGTGGATGGTGTTTTACATTTACAAATCACATAATTATACACAAATTATTTTTATGTTCACACAAATAATTATGAGACATATCTATGCCCATAGGGAATCGATAAGAACCGGAATCGATACATTTC